ATTACACTCAAGGCCAGGGATATGAAAGTATATATACATAATTATCTTAATAATATGTTATAAGTGATGGCTGTTTTACTTTCAAAAATCGGAATTTTAAACACGTATAGCTTTTACGCGCGGGTTACCTTGCCGCTTCGGCTTAATTAAGTATATTTTTCAAATGTATGTTGTAACTAAATTGCAGTTGCAATAAGACTCTCAAATTATCCGGAATCAGTCGATGTCTTTCATATAGGATATGAAATGGCTTAAAATCGGAAGTTATGAAGAGATCCGGATACTAATTAACTTTCGTACAAAACTGCATAGGTTGAAAATAACAATAACAATGAAACTTGAAATTAGCTATAAGCAATATCATAAGAAATTATTTTTTTGAGAAAATTCTAATTGCTGAATTACCTTCTTAATTTTTACAGTTACGGTGGCAATAAATCAACCTTGTTTTTATTTTTCCTTATTTATTAATTTATATATTTAATTTAATGCCCTGCTCTCAATGTATTGGGACATTTCTTCTTTAATTCAATGTATTTAGATATTTCATTTCAATTGCTATTACAGCTGCATGCAATTATACAAATTCCGATATTGAAACATTTTAAATAGCAACATACGACGATCGGTATGAATCATTGTTTGTTACTTTCAACAGAAACAGAATCGAATCTTGAAACATCCGCTTCTTAGTGCATGGTTGCACAAAGTTGTCCTGTTTTGTGGTTTACTCTTTAAAATACATATTTGATACACAAGGGAATTCAGAGGGGGGAATAAGTCATACAAATTGAAAAACAAAATCAATGTATACTTCTTCGCCCACTAAAATCATAGTTTTCATTGGCTGGTAGGGCTTGATTTTCTTATAATATTCAGTTTTCACTCATGATCAAAGTTCAGAAGATTTCACCTTAGACTGTATTTTTATTAGAAATACCAGTCATTTAGTCCATTAAACCATTCACTTAGGGTGGTCTAAAATCTTTAGATAATTACATGGCAAAATTTTTTATTCTACTGGGATAGAATGTGAGATGGGAACATATTAGAGTCAATAACCAATCAAATTCAATCTTTGAGTTATTTAATATTCACATAATGAATATGAATTAAAGTTTCCACAATAATGATATTGGGTTTTCTGAGTCTTAAAATAGTTACATGGGACATACTCATCATTTTGTTTGTTTACAGTTTGTAATAGTGAATTAGGTCATGTGAAATCGAGTTAAAATCTGTAGTTCAAGGATTTTAATAAAGTATAATCGAAGATAAATGTCTAAACCCCCTTGGGCATGATTTCAGTATGTTGACATCAGTATTTCTAGTTAAAACTTCATTAAGTTAATCAAACAAACGCTTATAAGTTTGGAGAGAAAACTGCAATTCCACATGTTTATAACTTGCAATTATAATGTTTTACATATTGATATTTGACACCTTAAAGCATATTTAGTTCTTAGATATTTTTTTATCCTTTTACCATTAATTCAATAATATTTAAATATATCTGTTTGTTATAAGTTTACATAAACCTAAAGTTTTTTCAATTAAAACAAAAGCTTTTGTCATTTTATCAAGGGTTTCCACCATAAATTTTGAATATTTTGCTTATAAATCATATACTTATATAAAAGTATTAAATCCTCAGAAAATTAATAATTGATTTTTATGAAAGTATGCTTTTCACATCCTGCATACTAATTGGTAAATATCTGGAAATAAGATACAAGGTAGGGTCAACTGTGTTTATTGGTTTTAAATTTCGGGATGCGTATTGTGTGGGTTAATTCATTATAGTGAGTAATTAATTCACTTTTTGAATTTGTATGTGTTATTATCATAAACGAAGTAGATTCTTTCTTTGAAGTTTTCTATGTCAAGCTTCATAAAAAATATGATGAATATTCTTTTGTCAAATACAGTTTTGCAATGGAACAAGATAGATAAACAAGTTAACTCTGTGTACACTCCGAAAGGGACACCTAAACAGTTATTACCACCCAATGATAATGTCAATATCGATGTATGTTTCCTGCTGCTAAGCTATCATATCATCATAGTTTCGGAAAAAGATGAATTCAAAAATACATTGAATCTATATTTATGTTGTCAAACTACTATCTATTATTTGCTTTTGAAAGGTATTGCATATTCACGTAGTAAGAGGACTGACTGTACTGCACTATAAGCAATCATGTACTTGATTCATTATGTTCAAGCTGTTAATCTTAAATGTATTTTTAGACGATAGATAATATATATGCGTAGCAGTCGTTGCTGGCAGGATTTTAACAATTTTCATCATCCACTCCCACCATACTCCTCTGAAATGAGTACTTCTGGTGAATGAGGTTTTTTTTTATCTCAAAATTAATCACAATTGTAAACCTATCTGATGCAGGTAGACCAGATCCGTAAGATGGCGCAATAATTGTGACAAGTTCCACTTAAAATAAACCTTGGGTTTTACATCTTAGTCTTAAGCACTTTGAGGAGGAAAAGGAAATGGATAATGTCCTGTGATCTATGATGCTTTTGTAGTCCGCTCTATATGCCATTAACGACCCTTCAACCATTCAAGTGTTAAAGTGGTTGTAAATGAAATGAATGGAGTTTTACGTCCTACTCTTCTGCACCTTGCGGGCTAATGAAGACGGGCAACGCCATGCAGGTTGCCATGAGGGAAATTTTGCCAGGACAGCGGCATTAGCCTGCTCTTTTTCAATTTCCAACTGTCGAGGGATCTTTAACGTGCACAGCCTTTAGAACACGGGGCGTCAGTTTATTGTCCCATCCGAACGACTAGACGCTTTTTCCATGTCAGCCCCTCTTACCTGCATCACTGACAGGGGGAAACCGGGTTGAAAAATCCGAAGGTATTATCTCGACCTATGCCGGGATTGAACCCTGGACCTTCAGGTTAGCGAGTAAGCGTCTAACTCACTGAGCGGCTCCCTAAAATGGTTGTAAAGAGGTTTTCTAAGTTTATTATGTGTATGGGGGATTTCGTCAGCATCAATTCAAATTCCAATCAGACGTCTATGGTTCCTACAATTCCACAACTAAACTAAGTGTTTGATGACGTCACTAATCGCAAAATATGCTTTATCTCAGTATATAGGAGGTCATAAACGCTTAGTTTTAAAAAGAACCACAGACGTCCGATCGAAAATTTGAATGGTGCAAATTTATGCTATCAGTAATCTGTGAATGTAAATTGTTTATTTCAACAGTAATTTTATACAAATAGGCTAACACAGGCAAGAGAAAGTCATCCTTATTGCTATAAGGATAAAAACTTTTTTTTACAATCCAGTAAAATTTGTATCATCATTATTGTTTCATATTTCATGAAATAAAAAGCCTTGCAAACGTTCTGAAGACGTCTGGTCGTGTAGGTAGAATAATGACCCAAGACACCGTTATGGTAAAGATATAATAACTCTTAGGATAACCAAATCATTATTATAACTTGGGCATTTTTCAACTAAGTAAAAATGGCTTGTTCAAGAATTTTTATGAATGGCAGGAGATATTAACCATATGTGGCAAATAGCTAAAAACCATTAGTTGTTATCACGTATATAGAAATATATTAAATAAATAGTAATAAACTATTATACAACCAAAGTAACATTAAAAATGACCCTAACCCTAACCTATTTTAATATCTATGGACAACATAAAAATGACCGTGTCTTATGAAATTTAGAATGTTTTGCCTTGTTGTAGCCAATGGTCTCCGAAGGATCTGACGAAACATGGCTAATTTCGACCAGTATGATTACCATGTTGGTAATAAATTGTATTGTCTCGGATCTTGATGATAAATGCATGATCTAAGCTCTTAGGACTTTGTCTGGATGGTGGATGTCTTGAGAATAACTATTTTATTGCAAAGAACAAACATGACCAAGAGTCATATCCATGGAAAGAGACCATATTTCATCCGAATCTGACAGAATGCAACGCTTTTACAAAATGAACCACAGCCTGATTTAGAATCAGGACATATTTATCGTGAAGAGTTGGAAAAGTGTCTTTTCACAATAACAATCAGATAAAGATCGGACTGAATGCTGCTTTCCTAGCAAAAATACCATGTAAATGGGTATCACAATGATTCAATGGTTATACGTTGGATAACGTTGGTTATATGTTTTAGGTTTTAGATTAGTTATTATTGAGAATATTTGTATTATTAAAACCATTTAAAACAAAATTATCATTGGATATGTTTCAAATAAATTTTACTACCAAACACAACTCTTATTTTTTCAAACATTCGGCTTTTCTAATTGAATACTTTACTCGAGAAATTTTATATTAGACTTTCGTTAGTTTCATCAAGGACCACGGTCGTTTTCAAAAGCCGTTTAATTTAACCAATTGTCATCATATTTGTCTCTTCAATATCACCCCAAATAAAGAAACAATTATGAAGCGAAAGTCTCTCTCAAAACAACTTTCATTTATACAGCTATTAAAGTATTTCTTGTAATTTCATATCTATCAGGGGTGGAATATCATTGTTGAAAGGAAATTGGTAGTAAATTAAGTATAAAAACACCGGAAACGATTGACCTCTTCAAACTTCATTATATCATATACTTTTTATTTTCCATATTTGTAAATCTTCAAAACCTTATCATAATAGCTATATGACTGATCAGCCAGTAGAAAGAGAGCCCATGATGAAATATATTATAGTATTATACATTTAAAATGTTTCCGTATTATTGTAATTTCTATTTGCGGGGGGATTTCTCTGTTACCAGCAGATATCCAATCAAACGATGTCTGAAAAATAATAACTGAACCGACTAAAACTTTTCTGTGGGCTTCGGAATCTTGGAAATTTTCTGTAAGCCCAGAATAACATCTCCGATCCTTATATAATGAACGTGTTGTGTTCTCTCATTCAATTCAAATTCATCTTTGATCGTATAGAAAGCAAAGAAAATTCATTGTTTAGTGTAATAATGCAAGGCAATATGATGTTTTATGGAATGATTTTCTTATTATTGGGTAAGTCTATTGACATGCATTGTACTATTATTTGATTATAGTTCTTCACGAGATAACATCATTGTATTTAACATAATAAATAATTATTTGATGTCAGTTTATTGAAAATAAAGCAGTAGGACGGAAAACTGGAATTCTTAAGGTCGTAAAATATTTTGGGTTTCTATTTTATTTGATTGAGGGACTTAGTTATCGAAATGTGATATATATTTTTTTATCATTATTTTGTTCTGCATAATGCACCGATACATACTAAATAAAGACTACTGTAATATTAAGAAAAAGACCCCATTTCTCATAATGAAATAAACTTCAAAATAATTAGAATGTTTTAGTTTAAATAGAAGTACTATTAGACTAATTTCTTAAATCATATGAAATCATTTAAAGAACCATTCTCAGTCAAAAAATACTGAGTTGGTGTCTCAAACGACTTTTTTTTGTCAACTTTGTTCATATAGCTAATAGTATAGAAATATTCTAGTAACCCACAGAAAAAATACGGAAACAAAAACCAAAGTCTGCTATGCATTTCCATTGAATATTAACAAAATCTTTATGAAAGACATGTTAAATATTAAGAATGCTGACATATAATGGTAATTGTTTTCATTCAAAAACCAATAACAAGCAAGAAATTTGATGATACAAAACAAATCCGTTATCTAATAATTATCATATGATATAGGCTATAGTAAATCCTAATTGTACGTAACAAATAGTACATGGCCAATAATGTATTTCCCATTAGTATGATATTGCCATAAATCACGATAAGTCGACCAATGAAATGTTCACATTTAAAAATAATTTCTAAGATGGTAAATATCGTCAATACAGCGGGCAATCCAATTTATCCCGTTTCATCTTACGCTCTTGTAACGTTCTTTGACCGTACTGATGTGAAAAACCGAAAAAAACGAAAACGCTAAGAAAACGTTTTGCTAACTGAACAGAGGTCTGTACCATCTTTGGGTTCAAATTATACTTACTACATAATTCAAAATAAAAATGGCAAAACGAAAGGCATGTCAAGGTCCAAATAATGCAAAAAAGATAAATATCTCTAAGATATTTGACATAATCTCAATAAAAGATTTATTTTAGATTTCAAAAATCACATTTAACTTAAAACTGAAATTGAACTAAACATAGGAATAGACAATGCCCGGTGCGGGATGATAGATACTGTACAAAATACGAGTACAAGGTACGGGTCCGGTGCAGACACGATTCGCTTCTTCTATTTTCCACTGTATCGACAATCTACTCCCATCTTTACATTGAAAGGACGATGGTCCAGAAATTTCTTATTAATAAAAACTTTGGATATACATCAAAACCTAACATTAAAATCTTTATTACAGCTATCTAAACGTTACATAGCTTTTTGTATTTTTCAACTAAATAAATAGTGTATAGGTTAATGAAATGTGTTAGTAAACTGTTTTATTAATGCACTCAACTGAATAAACGATATCAGAATTAGGGTTAACATAAATTAATAAATTAGAAATATTAAAACAGAACCTAAAACATGTTGTTACCCAGAGTTTCTTCAGGCAACTGACCTATTTCAGAATACATTGCTACTGCAGTTTGACCAATAGTGCTGCATTTTGTTATTGTAAATTGAGAAATTCTATGTTTTTTTTTTTTAAATATATGCAATTTCTTACAGTTTGATATGGTTGTTTTCTTTGTCAGTTTCAAAATGAAATAGGAATGGGGAACAGTCTATAATATTACCATGATTTATTTGAAACAAAATACGCCTTTATGCTACGTTACACATGATACATTATACATTACAAAACATATCGGCTCTGCGTTCATTAAGCAAAACATTTCGTTTCGTAGCATTAGGTCGTTTTCTTGTCATTTCATATTGATAGGTAACTAAAGAGACCACAAAACTATTTTTAAAAATTACTTAATAAAAGAGGGCATCTTAATGTAGGTTTGTCTTGATTCGTATTTCATGAAAATTCGGTAGCAATTCAAAATGTAACATTTCAGATCGATCTGGCCATTGATGTTTTTTCTTTAAAGTTATATTCCTTTAAAGAAGTATCCATATTATCGATCAATTTATGTGTGTTTAATATTTATTTTTATTTTCAGGGATGAAATCAGTTTTGGTTATATCCACCAACGCCTCAGAAGCCGATAACGTTACGAAATCCATAAACTTACAAGTTGAATATCCATGCAAGAATGCGAATTCATATTCTAAGGAAAACTGCTCAGGTAGCACGCCCAGTATCGCTAGCGTTAATAGATATTTTAGATTTGTTAATGCCTTAAAGAATGATATTAAAAGGATTGAAAGAACTTATAATGAGACGGTAAGAACATTAAACAATATAGAAAATATAGTAAAATTCACAGACTTAGTCTGAAAATCTGATTCTTGTTGTCTTTCATAACTTGTTATAGGCCGGAAGTTTTTTTTTTGTTTTTTAAAAAAAACACCTCATGCCAATCTCCGATTGGGTTTGCTGATTCAGTATCATAGAATTCACAGCTTACAAAGTATTGACGTATTTACAGTAATGTATAACTATGTTTCATAGTGGCTTATCTCTGGTACATGTTAAAATACGGAAGTTTCTCTGTAAAGTCAGTGGATTATGAAACATAAACATCCTACCTAACTTGATATGAAAAAGGGTTGCCACACTTTCAAGGTCCGCTTTCATTTCCTGTCAATACGCCCTCATTGCGTGGTTAGATCAATGTTTGGTAAAAAATGAAAATATGATTAAGGTGATATACATAGATAAGATTACGAAATTAAGAGTGTGCCCTTCACTGAATAAAGGGCCTGTGAATGATATAAATTATACATTGAAATAGGTCAATGATTATAGTTTTCTTTCATGGATTGCAAATATTTATTTATCGATTATTTAAATGCAGATTGAAAATTAGCTTCAAAACAATTCGCATACATTTTGATTACCTTTGCTTTGATGAAGATGCAAAATTAGGCACAAATCTTTGTTTTATTTCTCCAAAATGCAATTTTCAGAAGAAATAACTAATAGGATGAAGTTGTTGTTGGTGCATGATGTAACTTAATGTATTCTATTATGACGAATGTTTGTGGATTTCGGTATACACATTGTCAAATTGTATCTACCTACACTAATCACTAGATAAGGCAATAATTTGCATGTGTATTGATTAATAAATGAATAACTAGATATGTAAATTTGCATTGAGGCATAAAGGTTCAAGCTGGTGGGTGTCTGTTCTGCGAAAACCAAGAAAATATCTTTTTCACTCATTTTAGTATGGTTCCTACTCATTCGTTTAATATTTCAATTATTAGTCTTTGATGTATACAGTAGTATTTAGTAGTACTTTTACCATTACTCACTGTAATATTTACGCTTAGCGACATATTTCTAGCCCCACTTTATTCGAGATAAAATATTTGCGGGGCGATAATTTATTATGGATACAAGATCTTACTTCCTCCTATCCTATGAGGTTCTTTGATTTTAAGTGGGAATATTTAACATTCTTATCAAGAACCTGTCTGTAGTCCCGCACAATAGACATAATATGGACCTTTATCTTTATGAGTTTCTATCATAATGCATACTGTTACATTTATGAGAACATTTATGCTGAGTCATTAAGATAAAAATTTCAGGAATGTAAAACCATGGTCACAGAACTACTCATAGTTTATAATTGTACAATTATACGAATTCGTATACGAAGTAGTTGAATAGCCTTTTCTGAAGTACATAATTTAAAATATTTATTGTTGCTTATACCAACTTACCATTTGTTAATGTAAAGGTGTAAAAATATGATATAACTTGCGTACGGAACTATGTTTTCTCAAAATATACAACATAGATTAATTATAAGCTACATTTGAAAATATACAAATATTTTAATGCCTAAGTATGTGACTAAAAATTAATAAATATCAATTGTTATTTAATTTCCGTATATTACTCTTCCAGCATTATAAAATTTGTCAAAACGCAGAGAGAATGAATGCAACTATGGATTATTTGAACAATAATAAGTTCTGTGAGATACCTTTGACTATGGTAAGTATTAGGCCTTAAATGATTTCCTTTTCTATCGTGGAACAATCTAACATTTTAAAATCATAGACAATGCGATAAAAAATAATTGTGTCGAGATGACACAAAATCTATTCTGGTTTCAGATATGAACCCTTTACCAAGACAACTGGTCTGGAAATGATATTGATCAAAATCAATCGTTCCTTGAATCGTGATTTCGTGCTTTTTGATTCTCGTGTCAACAAGATTTTCTAATCTTTGAAACGTTTTCTGTAGGTTGACCAAGATATGAGCCATTCATCTCCCAACATGCGCCAAATAACTAAATGGATTCTATGGTTGGAAGAAGCTGAGAAAAAGGTTGGTTCATCAGAAGAACTTGGATACAAACTACACAGTATCGGAGCTTACGCTATGAAAATAGCCTGCTACCAAGGAATCAAGCATTGCATTGAAGAATCAGACGTTCAAGATGTTATCAACTGTACATTGCCCCCTATTGTGGCTAATGCTGACCCCCAAGATTTGATTCCAATATCTTGTCATGTTTTAAGTCACATCCATAACTACACCCAAATCCTCAAGAGATCCATCCGCCTTCAAATGAGACAAGCCAAAAAGAACAAGAAGAAATGTAAGAAAGGGGGGAAAAAATCTCGAAAGAACAGAAAAGAAAGAAACAAAAAGGCCAGAAGAAACTGTAAAGAAGGAAAGAGGCGAAATATGTCCAAACGTAAGAATGGTACAAGACGTGGCTGTAGAAAATGTAAAAACCAGAGGAATTAAATATTTGGCCGTTTCATACCCGATAGCAAGTTGCTGTCATTAAGTAAACGCTATGCGTTGCAACAAACAGGAATTAGGTTAAATGATTATTTTTAAACCTTGTCAGGAAGAACAAAAAAATTCGAAAGATTGATTTTTTAGTATATTTTTCGATTTTTTGGTGGTTTCCTTTGCAGAACAATTATTTTGGTTAGTTTTATTTCAAAAACCTATGCATCACTGTCAAGATCATTAAACGTAATTCCTGTTTGTTTATTTTATTATCTATGATAACACAAATGTATGTGCTACGCACACTAAACTAACTTAATATATATTTATTTATTTTAATATATTTTGAAAGATATTTTCTGTAAAACAACACAACATAGTCTTAAGAAGCCCAAAAACATATGTGTTCTGCAATCCTAAATAGCGACCAAAAATGCATCTTTGTTTTGTTTGTTTTAATTTTTTTTCGGTTTCGGTGTTTTTTTACAGAAAATGACATAATCTATCGTCTCCGCTAGCCCCATTTCACATGTATGTCTTTCGGAAAATAATCTTGCAACTGTACATGTAAAAAAGTAAAAATGTGTTTCATCAATATTGATCGCAAGATATTTTGTGGAATGGAGACTATATTACTGGGACACTAAACTCCATCTCAATTCATTTCATGGCTTTCATTGGTTCACAATTTACATTCAAATTTTTATATTACACTCTATTGGTTGTGAAATTGTGCACAAACTTGTTATGCAATAGAGCATAAATTCGTAACAACGAAGTCCTTGACATTATGTCCGTTTAAAAATTTATTTATTCTATTACGATAAGAAAGTATAACAGAGATAAAATCAAAATAGAAAATGCAATAATTATTTTTTGATATTTCATTTTTGCTTTGATATTACATACTTAGCCATTTTTATACAATATTTTATTGAATTATTTATAAGCTTATCATTAATTATTGTAACTTTTTAACTCCTTTGTCTTCATTCTGATTGCTATTGATATTTATTTAGCTATTGCTAATACAATTCTAATAAATTAAAACTTTCACCCTTTTGTATTTTAAATTTGGAATGTGAAGGCATACAATATTTCCCAAAGGCACACACTCGCTTAGGTACTTTCTGGGGCGAAAGAGCTCAAATTCACATTCAAAATCATTATTAGCATCCCCCCTTCAGAGTAGTGAACAGACCTTTCGCCTAAAAAGTAAACACTTGCTGAAGAGATGATACAGTATGCAGTCAAGTTATAACGATTCTCCTGGACAGAATTATGATTGGGAAATTGAAATGAAACTATTTAGACGATTTGAGTTGAGTTTCTGTCGTATTTAGCATGCTATCCTAATATGTATAAACATATCTCCATTCGTGAGGCATGTATGCCAATCATACCATTGACTCAAATACAAATTATAGTTCGATATTTTAAATCCCTTTCTTCCCATGCTATGCAAGAATATAAATGCTTGGATAATAACAGAACCAGGGAGCGAATGTGTCTTTCTTCAATTAATTTCTGTTGTTCTGAAATCTCGTGCTGGAATATTGCAGAGTAAGTCTGTTGTCTCAAAATAACATGTGCATTGAAGATACATTTGATAAAAGATATTCAACTTTAGTCGTCGATCACATAATTATATTCCTCCTAAACTATTGACCGCTTATCATAATTATCAATCAAGACATACATTTCCTCTATCTAACATTATTGTCTTCCATATACATTATAATACAGTCGAAAATACAGAATAAAATTACGTACAATCTTGAAATTATCAAACACACACGAAACACAATTTCATAAACCGAATTAAAAAATACTTTGTCAGCATCGAGAATCAGAACAAGTGGTTACATAGCAAGAAACGCCCACCTCCCTGATAGGTTTTCAGTAAATCAAAGGCGGTCGCCAATCTGTGTCAAATCGTACCAAAAATCTAATTTGTACAAGATAATTGTTGATTAAATCAAACACACAAAATTTCTTAAAATTTTGACATGAACTGCCAACAAAATCCATTCATTGAAAAATTGTCAAAGACCTCATCACTATAATGATTACACCAAATTTCATTTAAATCGGATGAAAACTGTTGTCTCTATTGTGTTCTCAACTAAAAATTTTGACGGTTTTTCATAAGTCTAGGGCAATAACTCTAAAACCACTCATCGAAAAATCTTCAAATTCGAACTTGACAAAGATCGCATTATGATAAATGATCACACCAAAATTCATTTAAATCGGATGAAAACTGAAGTCTCTGTTGTTTTCACAAACAAATTTAGACGCCTGTTTCCTAAGTCAAGGCAATAACTCAAAAACCGTTCATCGAACTTGTCCTAAATCTCATCAATATAAATGATTACGACAAATTTAATTAAAATCAGATAAAAACTGTGGTCTCTATTGTGTTCACAAACAAATTTTGACGTGTTTTCCATAGTCAAGGGCAATAACTCAAAAACCGTTCTTCGAAAAATCTTCAAATTCGAACTTGAACAAGATCTTATGAATATAGATGATCACACCATTTATTAAAATCAGATAAAAACTGTAGCCTCTATTGTGTTCACAAGCAAATTATGGACGGGCGGACGGACGGACAGGGGCGACGACAATATACGAAAACATTATAATGAGCTCATCTGGTCTGACAATAGACATGGTAATGATAAATCTGTAGTTCTGTTGATATGAAAATATCTATGGTAATGATAAATCTGTAGTTCTGTTCATCTGGCAATAGAAATGGTAATGATAAATCTGTCGTTCTGACAATAGAAACGGTAATGATAAATGTATGGTCCTGTTGATCTGACAATAGAAATGGTATTGATAAATGTATGGTTCTGTTGATCTGACAATATAAATGGTATTGATAAATGTATGGTTCTGTTGTATATAAAGTATATATTTTCGTTATTTGGATATAATTCTTCTAAATTTTAGATGTTGCACGCATTCAAAAAATATTATAAATTATTAGAGGATTGGGGAACTTTTTTTTATTATTTTATTCATCCATAGGATATAAATAATCATTTTTAAAGAAACCAACTATCATATATTTTCAATTCCGAAAAATTACAAATTCAGGGTTATGGTATCCAGGATGCATTTTCGCTTTAGGTTTAAAAAAAATAAAGAAAAGTATATAAAATGAAAAAGAAAATAAATGACGAAATAAGATGGTCATATGTCTTATGACATGAGAACAGGTTCAAATATATTGCGCACTAATCATGGATCTAAACATTACACTAATCAATATCCTGGGAAAATGAAAATGACAAAAATATTTTTTTTTCAAAAGGGAATTTTGAGCTGAATCACCAATTTCAAGTGCTTAAAAAAAGCGTCTTTAGGGATTAAAAATTTTCAATTTTGATTTGGGTTGATTTGATTGGTCCATTTGATATTACGTCACAACTAAAAGACCACTGTCCAATTTCGCTGAACATTTGAGTTGTATTTCTGGTCAGCGGATTAATCAATCTGTGAATAATAGACTTGTTACCCAATCAAACCACTATTTCCCCAATTCTAGATTTGTCTTTTTGAATTATAAGTGATTTAACCTCTGCGATGTTAAACGTTTCGTTTTTACTATTCAGACCTTCGTATTGTTATGTATCATCTATTTTTAGACTTGAGCCTTATTCCTTGGGATCTGCTCTATTTAGGTCAACTTACTCAACTCATTGATGAGTATTATTCATCTTTGTACTGTACTTTCAAGGTAGGAGTTAGTATGTGTAGGCTCTTGCATTCATCATAGAATCGTGTATTTCGTTTAAATCAAAGCAAATCATCATTTTATTTATTATTAAAGCGGATACAAATTTCCCCGACGTGTATATTAAAACATGAAACGACAAAAAAGAAAAAAAAATTACGTTATATCCCTTTAGTTTTGACTCCAATCCTTTGTTGTGTATTCCAATACACATAGACCTTGGCTTCGAATTTGAAATGAACGTCAGGGATATATCACGTCCCGTCAATTGATTGACTTCAAAGTTAAATAAACCACAAAATTCATTCCTGTTTATTTCAATACTTTTGGTAGTTTCTTAGCAAGAGAAGGGTGATTTTTTTTTGTACAAATTACTAATGACGTTAAATAACACAAGCTGTTGAACTGAAACAATTTTAGTTACACATGATACCTCTAAGAAATAATTTTCAGGAATAAAGGGAATAACCTGCTGGCTAGGGGCCCCATGTACATTTTATGCTGAACATCGCATCATAGCACATAATTATAACTTTATAGTACTGCACATTCCCCAAGAAAAGATGGTTTCCGCTATATTCCGGGACCTGAAAAAAACTCATGTTTTAAAGTATACTCCTGATGGCACAATCAAGCTAATGCAGAATGATTACGTATAAAAACTTTATTCCAAGGGATTTCCGCCCCTTTTATGACAACGCATGAGGTAATTGTGTGCAAAGTCCCTTTTTGAACAAACGTATTTTATGTGAGTAATGCTCCTGCCTCTATATTAAACAATTAGTAATTCAACCCGGATGTGCCACGCCCACATCCTTTTTTTTGTCATAGGTGAATTCATTTTCAAAGTGTTTAGTTGTATTCCAAATTTCAAGATTCTACATCAAATAGGTCATAAGATATACATACACCAAGCTCATTGCTAGAGATGGCCCCTTACATTATTTAGTTAATTGTTAGCAAAGTATTCAAAAAAACAAATATTATTTATTTTATTTTTCTAAATATTTAGAAGTTACAATAATTAAATATTAAAGTCCTATAATTCGGGTATCTGTTTCGTTTGTTTCATTCAAAACTTCTAAAAAAAAATCTTAAACCATGATTCGACATTTTGTAACCATTGAGACGATAAAGCAATTTGTGAGGTTCTATAGCACAGTCGGTTAGAGTGTTGGTTCTGTACATGAAACCATTTGCATTCTTAAACCGAACAAAATATGGCGGCTGTGGGTGCTATTCTCGATCAGCTTCTGATAGTCCGATGACCCTGAATAAGTCATCTTCACTCATATTCCAGTCGATCCAGCTGTAATAATCCGAGAAAGATCAATGCCAAGGACCAGCTGGTAGTAAGGATCCTTAACCGAGAACCTAAGTTGTTATCCTTGTAAAATATAGTTGTTACTTTCTCTTCTTTCTTTCTTATTCTCCTAGAGTTTTGCAGGGGCCGAAGTAGATTTAGTTTTCGATAATATAATATATGCTAGAGGCCTAGCAACCAAGGTTTTAAAAAAATTTCCCTTTTCATTAAAGAGTTAAAAATGAAGTCATAACAAATCTCTACATGAAATTGCTTTAATTTGATTATCATTCCCAATATTGTTTATTATGTAGTAAATTAACGATAGATTGAGAAAACAATATGAAATATGGTGACATAAAGACACATTGGGATGTCGTTCTTTTGTTGGAGGAACAGGACGTTTAGTACACCATTGTGGAAATGATGTCAAATAACCGCCTCCGGTTGCAATATGAATGTGATAAAGTAATGCCAAATGTTCTAGGGGAAATGGTTGAAAAGATCAATGGCAAAATTGATTGAAAATAAAGTGATGCCCACTGTTCTAGAAGTGCATCAAAATCTAGAGAAACGTGTCCTTAAAATATCCGGAAGTTTGAACTAAAAAAATAAGTCATAAGTGTTTAAAAACATCACACGTAAGGTAACTACTGTACGGATTTAAGCTAAAAAAAAAAACAAACAAAAAACGCCAAATGGTAGATAAATAGTCTCCCACTTATTCTAAATTTCTTATTCTTATTTCAACTCTTTTCAATATCGAGCCGTTATAAAGTCAAACACCAAAACTATGTCAATCTGCTTAATTAACAATTAGTGCTCTGTGTTTTTAATCAATCCTTATAAAATAAATTCAATTCGATAGAAGAGGTAAATAACATATTTTATGAATATTTTTCAGGTATTATTTATGAAAATGTTGCACACTGTCCCTTTAAAATATAAATTAGCAAGGATTAATTAGTCATTTCAATTTATTTATCATTAAGAAAGATATCCGAAATATTTTTTTATCATTTTTATTACTATAGCAATGCATGACAGTGTAAGTCATTTTTTAGAAAAATAAATCAGCCTAACATAGGCTACGTGGGAATATTTTTTTCCGATGGACGCAGATTCTTTATTTCCTGTTTACTAGAAAATTAAAGCATACTCTTTCACATTTAAATAAAAAAAGAAAACGGATGACAAACAACAGCATGAACAGATTTGAAAACAAATGACCACTTTTTTTTCTGGTAATAATCAATCACTTCCTTTAGGAAACTCAAATCGAATATCAATAGAAGATATTTATTGTTAAAATAGGCGGAGACACTGTTTCGATGCAAAACAACTTTCAATTGGCCTGACAGGTAACAATCGATTGGAAAATGTATTCACCTTACAGGTATATAAATCAAATCGATCAAGATATTTTTTAACTTCTGATCGGGTATCGAATTTCATCTAATATGTTCTTCAAACTAACCACAAGTGCTTCCCTAGCAATAATCTTAACCATTTTCGCCTCAGGTAGGATTTTTAATTCCTTTATTGTTTAAATGATAAAATGTTACATTAACATTAAATTGAAGTTTTGCATCGAAAATAAACTTATCTCTTCAATTTAAAAAGAAGCGAACTTAAGTGTTTGCACTTTACCGAAAAAAGCTTTGGTCTTATGGCAACTTAAAAGTAAATAATTTTAAATAGACAATATGAATAATAAATGACTTGTGCGAACTAAAATAAAATAGTAGGATCATGATAGTAAATTATGTTTTAAGTATTTGAGGACTTTAAACATAAGATTTCACACAGAGATCGTTTCCGAATATTAAACTAATTTTTTAAAACTTTGTAGATAATATTAGCTAGACGATAATTTCACGATATGACGATATGACATTTCGATATATACTCGGTATGCAACAATAATACTGTACCCGTATAATAGTTGAGAAGCTAATAGTTTTCCAAAATTAGTTTGTATACTACATGAGCAAGGTTCTGTTAAATAGTGTGCCATTGACCCATTTGAAATAATTAGAATACAAGTACGTCAATATCGCAATCGGCTCTCAATTATGAACTCGTTTGTCTCGTAAATGACCAGAAAAAGTGATAAATGGCAAGTCCCATTGATAAACGTCCTCTAATGCAGCGTTTTAATTTTTTGTTGGGGGGAGGGGTATCAAATCCGAATGACATCGTTAATCTTAACCAACATTTGAACATGCATTTCATATACATCTCTGAGTTTGAAAGAGAATTGTCTGCAAAGTGCAATATCACAAGTAAAGGAAACAATTTCGTAGTTTCGCGGTCCGTTGGTTTGCGGATCTTGGCTAGTTATGTTAAAACCATTTTTTTTTATTCCGGTCGGTGGCTCAAATATATATTAAACGGATTTAAATAAGACATAATGAAAGTAGGGATTATGTTTCTGGAGAATGGTCACGTACAAACATATAGTTAGAGTCAATATTGTTAAAGGGGTCCAATTCTTCAATTAGGATCATTCCAATTTTCAGTCAGTTTGTGGTCCCTGCAATTCTTCTTAAACTAAGTGCTTAATGACGTCACTAATTCCGATGGGCCTTAAGTGATAAATAACATTTTGCGATTAGTGATGTTAGGAAACATCCATTTTTGTGGAATTGCAGGAACCATGGACGTCTGACTGAAAACTGGAATGGTGCAAATTGATGTTATCATTGTCTCCAATACACATAAATTTTTTTGTGAAACCTCTTTACCTTCCCTTTAACGCACTCTTTTAAATTACATGACCCGTGTAATTTGAACTCAGGGTTATGTTTAAATCCTTAAATATGATATGTAGCTTATTATCACTGTAATCTGATATCTAATCCATGATACAGTACAGTGGCGATTGTACAACTTTGGATTGGATAAGGGCCACCGCCAAATTTTGTTCGAATCAGTTCCATATGAAAATTTTGAAAATAAAGGGCTCATATCATGTATTTTGAATAGTATTCTTTCCATATTATAATATTTTTACAATGAAAAAATGCATATTGATTTTGGGCCTTTGATTTCTAAGCTGATAACCCAGTCTTTGGTATTGTTTATGTGAGATTATTCGCTAACCTCTATTAATTAATTAATAAATTGAATAATGATTCAGTTAACATTCATTTATACTATAAAGCCACGCTTCTGTTTGCAATTATCAAATTATTTCATAAATCAAATTTATTGAAATTTTCTACAAATTGCTACAATATAAGATTCGGCAAGATTTAACATAGATTTGTCCAAAGATTATGACGATCTAGATTTGGCTAATAAATGATAAGGTTTTGGTGACAGGGTTATTCCCAAAACTCCCTCTAACTCCATCTCAGATTCGTCAATACGTGACAACGTATATCTCTGTAGAATGTTAGTAAAGATTAGAAACAATTCCATTCTGGCAAGTGAAGCACCGGGACAGGCACGTGGACCAACAGAAAACGGGATCAGGTTATTGCTTTTGACAATTTTCCCATCTTCATCGAGGAATCTTTCCGGATTAAATTGTTTTGGATTTTCCCACAGCTTTTCATCCAAATGTACAGCCCTTATATCAGCAACTACTAAACATCCTTTTGGTATATGATATCCTTGGATTTTGGAATCTTTTGTTGTGGTATGAGGGAGTGTGGTATTGGCTATAGTTGAAATTCGCTGAACCTCTAGTAAAGTCGCCTCCGTATACACCATCTTATGTCTATCGGCCCATTTGACCGTTCTTCCCGAACCAACGATTTCATCAATTTCTTGTTGGCATTTCCTTTGAATTTCTGGATGTAGAATCAGATAAAGAAAAGCCCAATCCAGAGTGTTGGCAGTTGTGTCTGAACCAGCCAGGAATAAATCCAGTATTGTCGCCATAAAAACACCTTTGGTCAACGTTTTGGACTCATCCATGCTGGTCAGACCAACATCTATAAAGTCTCTTGGGTTCTCTTTCGATAAAGTTTCTTTATGTTCTGTAATCGTATTCGTAATATACGCTTTTATTTCCCCAATAACTGTTACAATTTCATTTAATTTTGATGCCACAAAAGGCAAAAAACGCAGCTGAGATATAACATTCAGTGGTGTATATGGTCCATCCCCATCGAATGCGATCTTCATGAAGGATACTATTTTGGTGAATTCTGGATCATCATTTTCAAATCTGGAACCGAAGACAACGCTACTAATGATATTACTCGTGCCTTTCATCATAATCTCATTAAGTCGAAGAGGTTGATTTTCGCTCTTGGCAAACTCTTTTAAAATATATTCTGTCTCATCTAAAATTCTTTCTTCAATAGTAGCTTTTCCCACTCCGAGATCCCTCAAAGCTTGCAATGCCATTCGCCGCACATTTTGCCAATTTTGACCATTAGACCAAACTATGCCCGTCCCTTCTTTAGCCGCTTCGTTTGTGTCCCATAGTTTATCAGTCGGTCTGTCACTGAAGAGTTCTTTTTGTTTCACCAAAGCTTCATTTATCGATTCCATGTCACTAAGCACAATAAGAAGTTGACGCCCAAAATATATCCTATACACAGGTCCGTATTGTTTTCTAAGTTCCTCAAAGTAAATATGTCTCCTTTTGTGATATGTCCAGTTTGAATCGAGAAAATTTCCTAGGAACGGTTTGAAATTTGGACCAGGAGGAATTCCCGGTAGTTCGCGTTTGCTGAGAATATATCCAATAATAATAAGGACACACAATCCAATAAGAATCGTGAACATATTCACATTTTCACTCAAAACGTCAAAAACCGCCATTATAAAACAGAATATGTTGTGGTTAACCACAATACTTAGCGTTCAACAGTTAAATGATATCACAATAAGTGGACCACATCGTCCTATATAATGAACTCGTTTGAGGTTTTGTGGTATATTTCGTGAATATTTAACTGTTCTCATTGAAGTTATCCAGGGCGATATCAAATATAAGAATCACGTCTGCTTTGAAGAAAATTACTTGATAAAAGCTTTGGTTTATCGAACCACTATTCCAGGGTTTATCGCAAATTAAAGGCACATATAAAACAATTAATCTATATTTTTTTTTTATAATGCAGTGCAGCAAACTTGATTTATGTGGAGATCAGAATGATATTCGCCCAACCTTCCTCTTCCGCCTATTGATTTGTCATTGTAGGTAGAGTGATTGGAGTGGTATAGCAGCATAATAATGCCTATCTCTGAATCGTAGAAATTTGTATGTAGCAAAAGTTAATAACTTTAAAACGAACCCCTAAACCCTGCAGATCGTTACCCCCAAAAAGAGTATTATCAAATAAATTTTCTTTCAGGTGTAAATGGCGATATCAACATTACCAGTATATTGGAAAAAGCTGATGATCCATGCGACTTAAACCAAGACTTGAGTAACTATAGCCCTGGCAGTTATGACTTAGAAACTCTGAGAAATATACTGGACACTCTGTTGTATGCGTGTGATGATTTATTTAGTCACTATGATCAGGTGGGGTTAAAACTAGAACATTTTAATGTCATGGAACAGAAAGTTTTGATTTATTTATTCTAGCCAGCGGTAATAACTTCTTTTCCTCAAAAATGACAAAAATTGAATCCAGCGTATAGTAATGCACTGTTTGGAATACGCCTACATGGCAGATAAATCCAAAAAAAGACCTCAGTGTTAGCAACTTGTAGCTCAAACACTTATAACGTTCAGAACGTTCGGATATAGGTGATGACAATATACTTTGAGCACATAAAAATCGTTTAACATAAAGATTATAATCTCTGTATACATATAGTTTTTATCTGAATGTTTCAGCTTTTTGGGTGTAATAATGTGGATGGGATGCAAACAGTAAAGGAGGAGATGAATTTATCAGTGAGTACCAAGAATTTCTTTTATCATACAGTATAGTCGGTCAGAAAGCAGTGTCGAAAAGCTATTTTCTATAAATAGACATTTTAGATGAAGCTCCAAAGATGCAACAGTCGTGATATGTTTTTTCGTGTATTTTCGTGTTTCTCCCGCACAGCTAGGTCTAGGTGAAATACCAATTGACTAGATGCCAATGTATTGCCATAATGCTATATGACTATTTCAGGATGCAACCACATTGTCTACAGACGTCAAGACATACTATACATGGTTGTTATGGGCTCAAGAAGCAGAACTTCATATGAACAGTAGTTCAAGCATGAGAAATCCCTCTTTCGAGTTCTTGAAGTTAGACGAAACAGTCAATTCGATGATGCAGTTGGCGTGCTTGATGTTTGATCCAGACCTTGAGTCGACTGTTGAACTTCCACAAATTACATCTACAGATCCTGTCGACTATAGGTTCAGATCATGCGTAATATTCGAGTCCGTTCGTAACTTCACAAACGCAACTCTGGATCTACCATTAGAACGAAGTCGCCGAAGTAGTTACAGAGGACATCACATAAGGCCATACAAGGTCTTAGATTTGAATCCATCACCACTTCAATACAATGAAGACATCCAAACTACAACGAAACCAATGGTGCCAATTCCAGATTCACAATTGATCAACCTGTGGACACACATTAAAGTTGGAAGGAACAGAAGACAACTGAACAATGCAAGAGGTATAATGGGATTTTATATTTTTCATTCACCCAGTAATATTAAAATATCTGATTTGCTACAACTACTATGTAAATGGAAATTTCCACAGACCTGGTGTGACTTTGGGACTGGGCTTTCCAACTAGTAATTCTAGTGAACCACGGTGAGATCGATTTCAGTGACGGGCATGATTTCGCCATTTTCTTCGTATGTCGAGATGTTATGCCCGTTGCCTTAGTTGGCAATGTTACGGATCGGACACATTGGCATGGAAGAGGTTTGTTCGCAAAATTGACCAAGAAGTTACGACCTACATAATATAGTATACATATTCTGCTAATCGAGCAAAATTCCCCTTTATTATCCAACATGAAAAGAAAATTTATTTCACGTTCAAAATTCGCAACATGTTTTTCTATTTAACAGGTGCCATTCCTAAGATGAATGAGGAGATGTCACCGATCAGAAAATTGTTAATTAACCTGAAGATCAAACAGCACTAGTTACCCAAAATTCATAATCATATAGAACTCTTAGTTTATAAGAGTGACCAACTATGTTAGAACCATGTTTCTTAAGAGGAAACGTTACATGTATATGCTAAGCATAATAATATTATTTTCATATTTGGAATTCCGTCGTATATGCCGTGCATACTTTAGCTTCATGTATTTTCATAATTACGTTTTTACAGTATTTTATAAATAAGCTTGATATGTTTTTTTTTTTAAATACAATTTTTGGTGCGTTTATTCATGCGTTCTACAACTGACTTCCCCAAGCTTATTATCATGCTTAATGAAATTGTTTTATGAATAATCAACAACTGAATTTCGTTATTTTTTATCATGCTGAATTAATTTTTTTTATGAATAATCAACAACTGACTTTCGTAATTTTTCATGATGCTGAATGAAATTGTTTTATGAATAATCAACAACTGAATTTCGTAACTTTTCATGATGCTGAATGAAATTTTTTTTATGAATAATCACAACTGAATTTCGTAATGTTTTATCTTGCTGAATGGAATTGATATATTGATAATCAACAACTGACTTTCCATCATGCAAAATTAAGTTATTATTTTTATAGTCAACTACCGTTCCTGGGTTTTCATCAATATTATACATTGATCTTCTTTGTTCCACTATTATCATAAAGTAAACAAATCGTAATGCTTACTAAAGAATCTCTCGCCAGTATTGTGGTATAAATTATTAACAAAGGGTCATATTTATTAGGTTTATCACTGAATTTTTATCTTATTTTTAATTAACATATTGGTATCATCTTTGTAACACTGCATAATTTTTAGCAATAAATATTTTTTTCATGATCTGTTTTTGATTGTCCTGAAACCGCTGCTGTATGGTGCATGTACTAAAAAGGAACTACCCACCTATTGACAATGGAAACAGAGCTAGTTGTTCGTGTTTGTTTATGAAACCGGATTCCTAAGTATTCAGGATGTGAATGAAAAGAAATTGCTTACACGACCAAATCTGGCATCTGGTTTTCGTTTTAAAAATTTATGACTTCTTTCAGTCATACCTTTTATCAGTCATTCGTCCAATCATTTTCATGGAAACATGACCAAGGAACTCATTCTGAAAAATACATCACCGATGACCAAATATCTCAGTCAATGGACAATAGGCAAAATTTCATTTACATTCGATTTTTCTGAATTATTTGGGAAATATAATCGG